CTTCAGTATGCTACACGGCTTTTCGGAGGTTCTGCATGTCCTATAATCATTTCTCACACCATGCATTTATCTTACCTTGACCTCAGTCCCGATGTTTCCAGTCCAGCCATAGCAGTGACCTCCTGCTTGAACATTGTTTCCAAGGCAGAATCTTTGATGAATATCTTCATCGCAAGTCTTATCCCCATCCAGGATGTTTCTTTTACTTTGGCATAATTCCCTCTGCCTAATGTTCTTCCTTTCGGAAGATGCTCCGAGTTAACCCACAATACGAGGGGCGACCCTATTTCCAAAGACTTCTTCTGATCCAGCAATGGTTTTTCTTCTCCTTCCAGCTTCTTCAAAACCTTCTGGGCCAGAAATCTTCCAACGCCCTCGCTTGCACACACCTCCTTGTCACAAACATGAGAAAATTTCAGAAGGTTCCGTAGAGTAGCCAGATCATGCCTTTCCGCTGCTGACAACATGAACTCATCAGTGTATGCCAGGTTTCTCCCGCAAATGCTCTTCCCAAGAGCGACCTTCTTTGATACCAGAACACTACACAACACAGATGCGTGCCATTCCATGTCGTGAAGAAATCTAGCGATGGTTTCTTTCAAGTTGCCCCGGTTGATGGTGACTTTCAACCATGTGTGCCCACAGCAACAATCGTTTATGAGTTCCTCGGCATCTTTCATCACCCGGTGCAGCTCCATGGCGGCTGGTTCCCAATCAGGAATGTCATGGCTCTTGAGGTCGGGAAAAATATCGAAAAATTCGTTGAGCACGTGCTAAGTTCCGGAGGCTTTGTTCGCAAGAAGTTGGCATTGCCGAGGGAAGATTTGCACAGGCTTGTCGACGTTTGAAGAGGAGGCTAATTGGACCACTAGTTCTATCGTCGTGCGAAGATTGTCTAAAATTTTTACCATTACGGCCTCGGAAGACTATGCTATATGGACCAACAAGATTTATTCACATTCCAGGTTAATGGACTCTACATCGCTCTCTTTCAAGCTGGAGAACCACGAGATAGAGCAAAGCTTCCAAAAACGAGCTCTACCTTGCGCTCACAGTTTTCATTGCGATACCATCGGTGCTAGAACCATCTCGTGACTGCGAAGGTGGTTGACCCTTAAACGGATTCAGCTCTTCCCAAGCTCTACACAGCAAACGATTTTCCATTTGGAATGTCATCGAACTCTTGTGTTGAAAGGATTCATGCACGAATCCCTTTTTCGTAGAATTCATGACATCCTGTGGCCTACACTATGCAATATGGATCTTCGCCAAAAAACCGCAAATGAGTCCAAGTCAGCCTTATCCCACATTGAGTTTTGATTGGAATCTCGCTTGGTATCCGAGGAGCTTCCAAGGAGTGCAATAGTTTAATATCCTCCACAGTTCTAAGAATCAGACTGTTCGCGCAGGAAGCAGGGACTACTGTAGTATGCGAGATAATCCTAAAAAGCATCTACCTCGAATGCCATGACTCAATTGTCTGTTAGAAGGAATTCTATGGTAGATACGCCAACTAAACCTGTCGACGATTATTAGACTTTCGGTACAGACACTGTAGTGGGTCATGCAACTAGGCATCCATGATTCTAAATTGTAAATCTTGTCGGAGCTACCCACTTGAGACTCACCCACTTTATTCTGAAATAAATACAACATATATGCTTTGTTTTCGCATATCAAGTGACGCTGTGGAGCCTCCACTCCGAAGCTTGTTGATCAATCCATCGAATAGTCATCGTGAGAAACCACCACACTGATATGCTAGAAACTGTACATGCTTTCTATTGATAAGTCACTGTGTGATAACAGTGGATGTGCAGATATGAGGTGATATATGATTGCATTGTGGGGGCCAGGACAGGGGACTCGCAAATTTCAAAGATTATGTTATCAAGAATAACTAAGACAAAAACCTCACTATTGTTTGGACTCGTCATCAAAAAAAAAAATTAAAGTTGAAAAGGAAATAGGGTTTAGAGATTATAATAAAATTAAAATGAAATCAAAGAAATAATAGTGGAATAGGTTTGACCGTATAAATTACAAAACCAAAAAAACATGATTATTTCTATGAGTGTTAGTTATCAAAAAATTTGGTTGTCTACAACCATTTTAAGAAAATGATTTTTAGAATATTTTAAAAGATTCTAAAAGATTTTAAAGAATATTCCAATAGATTCTAAAAAATTCTAGAAGGATTAAAAAAGTTGTCTAAAAAGCTTCTTAGGATTGTTTCATCTTCAAGTAACATGGAATCTTTTTGAGAAGCTTCCTAAGGTTGCTTCATCTTCAAATATATATTATTCTCAAGAATCCTCAACCTCAACAATACACTCTTGGAGCTCTAGTTCATCTTTCTTGATATTGATCTTGTACTCATTTGGTTTAATCAAGTTCTTGCTAGTTTTTTGGTTGAAATTCTTTTGTTCAATTTCTTGTTTGGTGTCTAATATAGTATATCCATGATAGTTTGTTGAAACTGCTTCCTTATTAATACAAGAGTTTGGACTTTCTTAATAGAAAATAGATTATTGCTCTTCTTAAAAGCATCTAAGGACTTTAGATGTTATGAAGTACCTTCTTTTAAATTAGTATTGTTTGGAAACTCCCTTTTTTTCTTTCAGGATGGCTAGAGGTAAAGATGTTAGTATAGTTGAACCTACTAAGTCCAAGTTACATATTATTATAAATATACTAAATGCTTTATCTCATAGAATTGCTAAAATTGAGAATTTTTTTGTAAGATTTTATGTTGATGCAAGACCTAGAACATGTTAGCTTATGATACAATTACTTTCTTAAGCTTTTCCATTCAAAGAAATAGTATTACTTGTACTTCAATAAAAAAATTCACCTATTCAATAATGTAAAGAACCTTGAATTAGTCTTATAGAAAGATTTGATGTCACACTCTAAGATTTAAGGATTTGTTAACCAAATTTCATTAGTAACTTTTCAATAAAATGTGCATTATTAAGTAGAGGAATTGTGAGTTGGTTTAATTGAAATCTTGCTCACAAGACAAGCATTAACTTTATTTGTTCTTTTATTTGAAAAGAGATCTTCAATCTTGATCAACTTTGAAGCTTTTTTAAAAGGATTTGTGGAGGCATTTGAAAAATATAATAAGGCTCAATGAGCAATAACAAAGATTTGCTCATTATGTCAAGGATTACACTTTGTATGAATTTATGCATCAAATATTAGGCAATTGGCTTGTGACATCAATTAAGATGAATAAGCTTTTATGAATTAATTCTATTCAAAACTAAGGGATGATATTAAATACCTTATATTATTATTACTTGATCCTCAAATAATCAATAAAGCTATGAATGAAGTTGTAAAGTACAATAATTAATTATTTCAATGTCATTAAGATCAATGCTCGTGGACTTTGACAAAGCAATACACTAAAAAATTGTACTTTGTTGTTTCAACAAATATATTACTTTCATACTTAAGACCTAAGGATATGCAAATTGATGCAATACAATTCAAACCTCTTACAACAAAAGAGAAGAAGCATCAATTTGAATAAGACATATGCTTGTATTGTAATGAAAGAGGCCATAAATTTAAAAACAATACAACTAGGATTAAGAGTGTAATTATTTAAGAAAATGAAGAGGACCAATCACAATAGAGATTGTACAATTTGACATTCCAACACCATAAATTCATCAAGATATCTTTCTTTTTGTCTAATCTACTCATTGTTTTATTATACCATTATTTCTTGGTTCACAAAAAATTCAAAAAAATATCTTATTAGATTCAAGAATATTTGCTTGCATTTTAAATGAGTATTTTTTTAAAACTCAAAAAATTCCTCTACTACAAAAGTTGAAACTTATATATATATATATATATATATATATAAAAGTAATACATAGTCAATCTATATCTTTAAACAATGGTACTCAAAGGACCATATTGCTAGAAATATCATTTGAAGACCATAGTAGCAAAATAATATTTTATATTATTAGAATCTTATTCAATTTTATTATTTTAGGAATTTTATGGTTGAAAAGATATAATCAATCTATTGATTGGAAGTTTCATAAGGTTGAATTCTCTATAGATTTCCTTTGAACAAAACCTATCAAGAAATCATCAACAACAAAAATTTTATTTCTTAAATCAAGAGTTTGTATGAAGACGGCTCAAAAAGAAATTTCATTTGTCATATATGAAACTTATGCTCATAAAGAAGTAAGGTGAATAGTAGCTTTTTCACAATAATATAAGAAGAATATTAACATATTTCCAAATGTTACTCATAAGACCATATTGCTAGAAATATGATTTGAAGACCAAAGTAGCAAAATAGTATTTAATACTATTAAAATCTTATTCAATTTTATTATTTTAGGACTTTTATGGTTGAAAAGATATAATCCATCTATAGATTGGAAGTTTCATAAGATTCAATTTCCTATAGAATTTCTTTGAACTAAACCTATCAAGAAATCATCAACAACAAAAATTTTATTTCTTAAATCAAGAGCTTCTATGAAGACATCTAAGAAAGAAATTTCATTTTTCATGTATGCAAGTTATTGTCATAAAGAAGCAAGGTGACTAGTAGCTATCTCACAATATTATAAGAAGAATGTTAACATATTGCCAAATATTACTCATAAGACTATATTGCTAGTAATATCATTTGAAGTTCATAATAGCAGAATAATAATTCAAATTCTTAGGATCATATTCAATTTCAATATTTTAGGACTTTTATGGTTGAAAAGATATAATCCATCTATAGATTTGAATTTTTATAAGGTTGAATTTCCTAAAGAATTCCTTTGACTAGAAGCTATCTAGAAATCATCAAAAACAAAAATTTTATTTCTTAAATCAAGAGCTTGTATGAAGGCACCTAAGAAAGAAATTTCATTTGTCATATATGCAAATTATACTCATAAAGAAGCAAGGTGACTAGTAGCTATTTCACAGTAATGTAAGAAGAATGTGAACATATTGCCAAATGTTAGTTATAAGACCATATTTCTAGATTATCATTTAAAGACCATAGTAGCAAAATAGTAATTTTAATTCTTAGGATCATATTCAATTTTAATATTTTAGGACTTTTATGGTTGAAAAGATATAATCCATCTATTGATTGGAAGTTTCATAAGGTTGAATTCACTATAGAATTCCTTTGAACAAAACCTATTAAGAAATCATCAACAACAAAAATTTTATTTCTTAAATTAGAGCTTGTTTGAAGACGGGTAATTAAGAAATTTCATTCATCATGTATGCAACTTATGCTCATAAAGAAGCAAGGTGACTATTAGCTATTTCACAAGAACATAAGAAGAATATTAACATATTGCCAAATGTTACTCATAAGACCATATTGCTAGAAATATCATTTGAAGACCATAGTAGCAAAATAGTATTCAATATTATTAGAATCTTATTCAATTTCATTATTTTAGGACTTTTATGGTTGAAAAGATATAGTCCATCTATTGATTGGAAGTTTCATAAGGTTGATTTTCCTATAGAATTCCTTTGAACAAAACCTATCTAGTAATCATCAAAAATAAAAATTTTATTTCTTAAATCAAGAGCTTGTATGAAGACAGCTAAGAAAGAAATTTCATTTACCACATATGCAACTTATGCTCATAAGGAATCAAGGTGACTAGTAGCTATTTCACAATAATATAAGAAGAAT